ACTTCAATTTTTATATGTATGTCACCCTACATATGAATGAAAGTATGTATTTCACATTTTAAAACTTAAAATAGTGGTATTTCAGAGGTGATATGAAATTAAGATTTGGATGGTATAGATGTAAAAATCAAAGTTTAGGTGTTAGATATGCAAATACATGAGAATTGGGTGGAATGTATGTGAGAATAGAGAGTATGTAATATCATTACCTCCCATCCACGAACTCTGGCAAATGTTCTGGCTTCAGTCTCATTTCCAAAGATATAGTCAACGTATCTGACACCACACAAAAAAAAAAAACATATTTATTCAAATCAGTAGATAAAAATGAGACTGTATGAAACTGAAAAATTAGACAAATAGAGGACTTCTAGGAGAAAAATAATTCAGGATTGAAAGACCAAAGATGGAAAAATGAAATATTATATCTAAAATTCATAGTTGTACTCATCAACTAAATTATGCCAACTATTTAGAGTCACTTCTAAATCCTTCTGTGAATCAGGTCCATGATGCCAAACAAAACAGTCTTTATTATAACTTGTAAATTGGAGGAATGAAAAAGAAGTGCACTCACGGAAAAACTTTATCCTGTGCATCACGGAAGAACTCACAAATGAAAGGAGCTGATAGATTCGTCGAAAACACCTAAAAAGAAAAGAATTTAGAAAAAAACTGTGTGAATTGCATGCAGAATCAGATGTAAAAGTTACAAAACCTGAACCCCTTACCTTGTATTTTGCAGCAGCATGCTCAGCAATAAGGAGTATGGACTCTGGTGAGACTGTAAGGAAAAATCCAGCAATATAGATGTACTTTGCTTTCTCAACTGTGGAAACAATGGTTCGATCATGTACCAATCATTGAGAAGACAAATAAATGCAAAATATAGTTTTAGACAAAACATTGTAGTCACAGGCACAATATATGTTTGGACAAAACAATGTAGTCACACAAGTATAAAAAAGGGGGCATTTACATACATGGCACACAATTCTTATGTGTTTATATATCTCACAATATACTTTCATGTTTACACACATAGTATTTAAAAATTTAATATAACATAAAAAATAGCATTATTACAACTTTTTAAAAGCGAAATACACCTTTTTGTGCATAGATTTAAAACACCAAAGAGCTATGTATGTGAATATGAAAATTTCCCAAAAAAAAAAAAGAAATTCTCATGGCTAACGAGACAGCTCACGAAAGAAAGCTATTCTCACATTTAACAACAAAAGGTAGCCATAAGTTTATTGAACGGCAGACTACAAATGGAACAAAATCTACCAAAAAATTTAATGTTACAAATCCTTAGTAACCTATAGTATTCATTGTTCAACTCATGTTTTACATATTTCAACCTCAGTATCAGGTGTGGTGTGATAAAACTAGCCTGGAGAAGAATGTTGAAATTTAATACTATCTAGTACATGTTGGGCAATGTAGTGAGTGACAAAGAAAAATGAGCAAATAAACAATAAAACCATAGATTTATAGCTTCTATCCACTGGTGATATATCAGTAGACAATATGTAAGGAAAGATATCTAATTGTCTCGACTCATTTAAGAAAAAATAACGACATTAAGATTAATATACAAGTAGCTCTTGACTTTGCACAAAAAGTTGTCTGGCAGAATTCCATATTAAATATCATGCCAAAAATCTTTAAAAAATGCGTTTAATAAGGATTTAGACTTGAGACACACCTAATTTCCAATTTTCTGGCCTTTTTAGATGGTCTGATTTGTAGCAATTTGCTGCAGACAAATTTGCAATGAGGGACCTGCTCAACCAAAAAAAAAAAAAAAATCATAAATAACCATAAAAAAAAGGTAGCAAAACTTAAAACTATTAATCAAATGATAATATAAAGGATGAGTGTAAACCTAGGCATCATGAGAGGTATATGAAAAGAATGACTTTAGCACTTTTTGTCATTCAGTTAGAGTGATCATCATAAAAATCATTCCCTAAAAAAGATATTTTTCATGACTAATAGAACTTACAATTTCTACAATGTTAATATTAATTATCACAATAATCATATTTCAAACTATTATGGTGATATAATCCTTAATTATCACAATAATTATATTTCAAACTATTATGGTAATATAATCCCATTAGAGCATGATCTAATCATGCCCACAAGGGGACGATATTTTTAAAATTAATTTGAGGTGGGAGCGCGAGAAGAGTAATAAATTTCTTTTAGGCAGGCATAGAATGGTTAATTAAGCAGTTGTACAAGCTTTAGAAAGGTTTAAATTGTGATTTAACTATAGAGGATGTTGCGGAGCTAATTTAAAAAGGAAATTCTGTTTTGGATTTTGGTTTGCTTGGTGAGAGAGAGAGCTAAAAGATACGTTTTTAAATAAAAGTGGCTTTTGCAGAGCAAATATAGAAAAGAGAGTAAAAGGATAAGTGGGCAATTTACGTGGAAAAATTCTATTTTTCAAAGGGATTGTGTGACTTCGTTGAAAGAATAAGGCGAAAGAATTTTGATATCTACATGAAATATACACAAAGAAACAACTCCACTCAGAAACTAATTAGTAGGAATCAAATGCAACAAAATTAAGAGTTGTATCCTTTGTTGATCCTGCATACATGGAGAGAGATTAATAGTGAAAGAGGGATGAGATAAAAAGAGGTCAGGTAAGAGAATGAGAGAAAAGAGTGAAAACTGGGAGATGAATCTAAGCTTGTTTACAATTGCTTCAATTAATCATTAATAATGTTTGCAATATGCAAACATTTAAAGGAAAATTTTCAAAGGTAATCATGCAAATTAATATTGAATCTTTCATAAAAAATATTTTTTTAATTAAAAAACCATTTAAGTAACCCTTAGTTAAACAATTATTACACCAAAAATCAAAAAGGGCCAATGATGAAAAATCTCAAGAGGCGATGTAATGATATACCCATAGGAAATTTACATGCATGCCACACAATTCCTTTGCATTTACAAATCAAACACCTAAAGTTTTATATTTACACATATAAAACTTTGGTTTCATGAACCAACAAATGAAAGGTGCAGTTCACTTTTAAAAAGTTAGTATTAGTGATTTTTTTGATGTGATATTAAATATTAGTGTTATGTATGTAAATATAAAAATTTAGGTGCTATGTAAATAAGTAACAATTGTGTGGTATGTATGTAAAATGCCCCTATGTCCAAACATACTAGGTAATCACATATCAGATAGCTGACAAATTTTTATTTGCACTGAGAACATAAGTTACCAACAAAAGAAAAAAAAAGTAAGATGAATGTGAAGTAAAAGAAAGAAAGATAAAAGTGAGAATTGATTACATGAAGGATGGTGCCAGTCTACCAATGGTTTGAGCATGTAAAAGAAAGCAAAATGTAAGACCAAATAAGGCAATAAGATAGGATTAAGATGATAAGAATGGGAAAGAAAAGAGAGACCAAGTTATCATCACTAAAAGTAATAGAAATAACTTCTGTAAAATAGAGCTAATACACCTCAAACTCAAAAAGAAATGTATGAAGAAAAAAATTCATAATGTTGACCACCAAATATTAAATTTTGTTAAAAGCATACCAATACAGAAATTAGAGAATAAGCAATTTCATATTGTTGGAAAGCTAAATGATATCTATTGCATTTTAAAAAACAAACTAACAAATTTTGGAGTACTAGAATTAAGACTGACCTCTCACCGCCAACAACACAGACAGCACAAGTACCCGTTGGGGTAGTTTCATTCTCATAATAATGAGCCTGTTTCAAGTTATCATGACCCTAATTTAATATCGTAGTTGTGGTTCAATATGTACAAATAACAAAAGAAAAGGAGGATTCACATACATACCACTTAATTACTATGTATTTGCATATATAGCACCTATACTTCAATATTTACATAAATGCCTCCTAACCTATGCATGAAAAGGTGCATTTCACTTCTTAAAGTTAAAATAGTTATCATGAGAACCCTAATTTAATATCGTAGTTGTGCTTCAATATGTACAAATAACAAAAGAAAAGGTGCATTTCACTTCTTAAAGTTAAAATAGTGGTAATTTTGATATGCTACAAAAGATTTGGTTGGTATATATGCAATAAGTAAAATTTAGGTGTTAGACATATAAATACATAGGAATTTGGAGGTATGTATGTAAATGCCCCAAGGAATAATAGAAGTGGCAGAAGAACTCACATTTACACCTGCTTCTTTAACATTTTTCTTCATTTCCTCTCCAAATTTGTCTTTCCCAATGCAACCCATATAGCTAGTCGCGCCAGGAATTTGAAGCATCCACTGTCACATTACAAACCCAACGAATGCGAAGTTTAGTAATAAAGAAAATTTACATACACAGCACACAATTCATAGGTAGTTACATGTTTCACACCTAAACTTTCATATTTGCATACATAGCACTTTGGTGTTTTATACCTATGCACACAAAGGTGTATTTCACTTTCGAAAAGTGATAATAGTGCTATTTTTAATGTGATTAAAGATTTGAGTGCTATGTGTGTAAATATCAAAGTTTGAATTATAACACTTTCGTGCTATGTATGTAAAACAATAAATGTAGAACATATTATAATAAATTATTCTGAAATAGTAATAAACCTGTGCAACCCTAATTGAGTTCTGAGTGGCGCCTGGGAAAAATCAAAGAAAGAGCATGGTGTAAGAACTCTATGAAACTGAAAAGGGAAAATTGGTCACCATGAAAGAGAGCTATCACCTCCAGCAATATATTCCGCATTATGTTTAGAAGCCAACTCATCATACCTGGAAAACCAAAAGAAAACAACTGTTAGCATGTCTGTTACCCATGCCTGAATATTAATTATTAGGACAGATTGAAATATATTTCTTACATAGGCAAATGTTGCTCCTCTGCAAGAATTGCATCATTTAACTTGATGTTGTATCTGAACAAATATGCAGAAGGCAAGAAAATCTAAGTCAAATATTGTTGTTTGTTAAAGTAAACATAGAAAAAATTAAAGAGGAGCAATATTTATGCTCTTCAATTATATACAAGAAATTTTATATTAAATGTAGAAAATGGACCAAAATCTCTTTAACATGACCAAATGAAATGAGTGAAGAACATGGGTGAACGAATAAATCTCACCGGCCTTTTTCAGTGAAATTCCATGGGTTCAACTATACGACAATCAAAGACCTGAACAAAATTTGGCTGCAAGTAGGATTTAACTTTTAAGTAAATTGTATAAATTTGAATTTAATAAATATTAAAATGTTTAGATTTTGAAAACTATTTAAATGTTAAATTTGATTAAACTTTGTAAAAGTATTTGGCAATTTAAATTTATTAGATAAAATATAAATTTAATATTATATATTAATGGTGTAAATACTAATAAAATTTTACAAAATTAATTATTTATCAAATGATAGTCTTATTTATTAATTAATTATTCATGAGCAGTTTATTGAGTTAATTAATAAAAAATTTAAATTTTGTAAAATTATGTAATTTTAATCTGTAATTTTAATTTGTAATTTAATTACTGATAATTAATTATAAAACCTATATATAAGTTTATATAGTTATAATTAACTCAGATAACAAATTCAATGATTATTAATTATTAATCAATTAAATTAATTAAAATTTACTTAAATAAAATTATATTAAATCCCGAAATTGTAGAAAATTCATTTTAATAAATTCTGTAAAATTACAAAATTAATTCTTTTGAGTTTGAAAAACTATTTAATGTTAAATTTGATTAAATTCTGTAAAATTATTTGACAGTTTAAATTTATTAGTTAAAATATAAATTTAATATTTTATACATTATCAACAAATTTATCATTC